TATATATATATGTATGTATGTATGTATGTATGTATGTATTATCCCTTAATTAAAATCATCAATCAGCTTGAATTAATCGGACGGTCCTGAGACGACTAGAGGAGCCAAATACTCCTACTGAATACCCTACTGGGCGCTATGGGTTCTCCCGTTCGTTGTAGGCGGCTATCCCGGTCGGGTCTATCATCTCTTCATCTATCATCGGCCAGGTATGGCGTTTTCTTAATGTATCCGTAAATTTGATTTGTTGAATTCTTGATCAATGTAATGCTCATAAGCTCAGTTTCCTTGCCTTGGTTAATGCTGGTGCTCTCTTTCCATCAAAGGCAAGTCGATATTTGATTGCACGCCTTCGATGGAACACTTGCTGATTTCCTTGCAAAGCTAGGGCCTAATTCTTCGTTGCATTGCAGAAATTTTGAGATTTTCTTATTGCGGGTCTTTGGCGTTATGGCGATGCGACAGTAGTAGGATTTAATGACGAGGAGAGAAGAGCGTGTAATTCAGTTATGGCGGTTCTTGAGGAATCTAAGATTAAGAAATCTTAATTAAATGGGCTTTGCTTCTATTTTTGTTTCTTCCATTTTGTCGGATTCTTGATCGAATTGAAACCCTAGACAGTAAAATGGGCTTGTTTTACTGCTAATGAATTGACACAAAATCTCTGTTTTGGCCAAAGTGCTGGACTGACTTTTTTGGATACGTACTGCGAGGGCTGTGTACTAAATCTGGATTAAAGAAAACGAAAATGCTTAGTTTGTATTTGATGTGGTTCCAATTTACTACAATAAACCTTGCCTCAATGATATTCATTTTTAATATTTTATTTATCCCATAAATTACACTGCCAGTTTACCCAAATTTCCTCCAAGTGGAATGAACATTCCAACTAGAGGACTTATATTGTTAAACAACATGTTCTACTAGATCTTAATTCACTATCATACGATACATTTACATACAAACCACCCAATTCATATATATTTAGGGTCTATTTGGGGTAATTGCAGTTTATTAAAAAACAGCTATGAAGTTGTTGAATAATAATCTGATGCCTAAAAAATTGCAGTGACTATTACAATTTTTTTTTTTAATTGAACTGCAGCTAGAAAGCTGTCACCGTACCTAGTCAGGAGTGGTGGGAAAACCAGATTTCAACTGGCAGGTTTCAACTGTAGTTTTTTTTTGAAAAAACTGCCAAAGCGCAATTTATCCAAATAGACAAAACTGCGGATCGCTGCCCCAAACAGACCTTACATATCTAACACCTAAACTTTGCTTTTTACATTCATACTTAATGCAAGTTGTTCAAAGTGGTAAGCTTGTGAGCTGATTAATTTCATTAACAGGCTATTCCAACTTATGTCATTACTTTTTTATTGTCTTTGCAGGATAACTGAAGCTGTGAGAAGGTTCGGTCTAACAAAAGATGGTGCTCAAGTAAGGAAAAAAAATGATGGAACGAGCTTGTTTTGTGTGATTGCAGATATACTGAAATTTTAACTTTGATATTCTTCATGTTTAATTACCTATTGTTTTGATTATATGTGGGGTTCTGGCTCGTTCTATCCTAGATTTTAATGGATTCATGATTTAGAATTTGCACTTTATATTTCGACTTCATTCAGTTCTTATCTAAACCTTTTGATATATTAGCAACTATCTTTAATTTCTAATTTAAATTCGTTTCTATGCCTGTAATTTATAATATTTTAAGCTAATAACTGAATTTTGAGAGATATGTTAGGCTCACATACAAGTTAAACGTGCTCTAATGGCAGTTAAATGTTATTCATTTTGTTTTTGATGACTCTATTGAAGGGATCTTTGTTCAACGTATGTGCTTATTGTTTACAGAACTGAACTTTGCCGTTTTAGTGGTGCTAAAATTTACCCTGGGAAAGGTATCAGATTTGTTCGTGGTGACTCCCAGGTAAACTTATTAGTGTGTTTAGAAACTATTTTAATCAGTATAATTTGTTTCTGTTCTTTTTATCCGGCTTTTATGCTGCTTTTAGGTTTTTCTTTTCTTAAGCTCAAAATGCAAGAGGTACTTTCACAACCGCCTAAAGCCGGCTAAGCTCACCTGGACAGCGGTTTACAGGAAGCAACACAAGAAGGTAAGTGTTTTTTTTGTTCTTTTTTTATTGGGAAGTTTTACATACATACCACTCCACTCCTGTCTATTTACATATCTAACTCCTAAACTTCAATTTTTACTTATATGCCACCTTATAAGTTATAATATGTGACATGAAAAATTTGGGTGGCATAAATGTCAAATGCAACATTTAGGTGTTAGATATGTAAATGCATAAGAATTGGTTGTATGTATGCAAATGCCCCTTTTTTGTTCACTTTTAGTCGTTAACTATAGTTTTTCTGATAGTTGTAGATGTCATAGAATCTACCATTAATGGCTCAATAGCAAGCCATAGTCTTCCATTGCTTGATTTTGTTAGTTAGATATTATTTTGTTATAAAGCGCGTTAGTGGTTTCATTCTATATTTGATTCACCTTTCTATGTGTGACCAATTGTGTTAGACTGAGAATTTCATTATTGTCTTAGGAAGTCTCAACTTTGCCACCATTGAAATGGATGTATATGATATCATCTTGCATGTTTGCTCTGAAAGACTGTAATTCATGTTTTTTCTATTCTTATTGTGTTCCCTAAGTACGATCAAAATCATGATTTCAAAGTACATTTATTCAGTGCTAGATCTGTGCTTCTTAATTGATCTTTATGATTCAAATTCTCATATGTAATTTTCTCAGGTTATCACAGTGTTTTATATTCTCATTCTTTTTGTGTTTAGTGTGTTTATTTTTACCTTGTTAGTTCAAGATAATTGCGGAGACTTATTAATTTTTTTATTTTTTTGAGGAAAACTGAGGGCCATGTCTAACTTCATCCAACTAAGATGGAGATTAAAATAGTGAAAACAACCACAGAACAATATAAGGTGAAAAACATCTTTGTTCAGAGAAAAGAAAACAAACTATGAGTCAAGAAGACCAGCAAATGCCAGAACGCTTAAATGGAGATTAATGAGTCAAGAAGACCAGCAAATGCCAGAACGCTTAGCCATGATGTAAGTGTATATCAGGGCAGCCTATCCAAAGCCATCCGCAATAAAACAATCGGCGAACAGATGATATAAATGATAATCTTCATATGTACATTTATCACAGAACCCAACATAAATACATGAGTAGTATCTCAAACTAAACAATTAAACAACATTTTACAACCAAAGAGTAAAGAAAACTGGAAAATTGGTTGAGCCATATTTATTTTGTTGGAAAACATCATAGCTCATAATCTCCCATAGAACTGATCCAACATTCATTAAAAGATCAAGAACTGAAAACTTACATTTGACCAAGTTCTTCGAAAGAGGAGAAATAGAGAACAAATCTGCAAGCATATTGGATATTATATAATTCCCTTATTTGAGTAGTAACATCATCCTTAAACTTCCATTTTATACTTCTCTGCTCTATAGCTTCATGAATATTCTATATAAGTAATTCAATAGGAGAAGATGAATTTCTAAAAACTCTGATATTTATTTCCCTCCAAAGAAAATGAGCACTAATACGAACAACTTCAAGTACATTTTCTTAAAGATTTAGAAGTAAAGGAATCAGCATGAGTGAGCACTTGTTACATATTTCCACCCAAAGAAAAATGTTTCCATTAAGGATGCATTAGTTTAGTAAAATATGAGCATGATGACATTCAAAGAAAAAATATTTATGCCTCGTATTCAGCATGACATAAGAAACATTCTCTATTAACTATAACCTCTTTAGGAAGTAGAATATCATTAGTTTTAAGGCCATTATGCATAATGTCTTAGATAATGAAAAAAATTTCATAGAATGCCTTTAAACCAAACATAATTTCTCCAATCTACAGCAGGACTACTTTCATGAGCAAAATTAGGTAGAGTTGTGTATCACGTCTTTCATTCTGATAGAGGGAGAGAAATCAAACCAGCTGAAATTCAAATTGCCATACTTCTCAAATAAAGAGAATCCATGAAGCCGTTGATCAAAAAAAAAAAGCAGATTACTGTTGCATTAAACTGTTTACAAAGAGTCATCTAATTCTAATAGCCACTGGACTCAAACTTTTCCAAAAAGGAAATGTCTTAATTCTGTATTTTACCCAAATAGAGCCATAGTGATCAATGCACCAAGAAGCTAAGGAGTAGAACTTTAGCGCCTCCAAATAATTTTTTGCTTTATACATAAGATTAATGACATCAAGATTAGGCAATCCCATACCACCACAATGTATTGGTTTAGTAGAAGTTAGCCAGGCTATTGTTATTTGCACTATTATGAAAGAAGTTATTACACAAAGGTCATATTTTTTTTCATATACCTTCAGGAATAATCAACATATCTGAACTAATAGTGTAAACAACTCCATACAATGGACTTAATAAATCACAACCTTTCAACAAAAGGGAGATTTTTTTGCTTCCATCCTGATAACTAGCGTTGTAATCTACTGGAGGAGCTTAGAACACTCAATAGAAAAAAGCTTAAAAGGATTTAATGGCAACTCTTAATTAATTCCAAGGAAGGGCCTTAGGAGAAAAACCACTAATATCACAAATCTATTGTTGCATCAATAAGTCAACAGATTTTGCAAAACAAATAGCTGACTTTGCACTGTTAACACCTATATTAGAGGCCTTGTGGAACTTGTGAAGAATAGTTGAGAGATTGTTAAAATATTGGCCCGACCGAATATCAATTATTCATCCACATAAATAAGGTAAGGCCTTCTTATTATGAATAGATGAGTTATTGTTATTAAATTGAGAATGATGACCATTCATAAGACAGGAAAAAACATCGATCAAAATTGCAAGTAGTATGGGGGAAATGGACACAATTGCAAATAGATATTAGTAAATAGGAAATATAGAAGAAGTCCAAGGATTTATTTGTAAGAAAGTTGTAATGCTCTATAAATTCCAAGTTATTAATGAATAAAATAACTTTTTAGAGCAATTAATTTTTGTACACTCTTATCGAAGACTAGAAGTGGAATTAAAAAACACTTTTTATAATGATAAAAAAGTGGATGTTAGAAAATGCAAGCCTTGATCCACTAAATGAAGGAGGATGAAAGCCAAAATTCGTCATACTATCATAGAAAAATTGACAATTAATATTATAAAAATTTCTCAATATCAATTTTTGCACAAAAATATTTGTTCGATAAAGCATAATTAAAATCACAGAGAAGTTCATTTGTTAGAATAATATTATCTATTATATCATGACCAACAATGGAGGCAGCTTGAAGTGAGTGTATGATGGAGGGGAACCAAAGCTCAAGTCTATCCGCAATAAATTTAGAAACAACTTTATAGAATTTACTGCAAAGAGATATAGACAAAGTCACTGAAGGATTTAACATGAGTGTTTTGGGTATTAGAATAATTGCGGTATGATTAATTTTTATAGGGAGTTTAGAAGTAAGGAAAAAAATATTTCAATGTTGTAATACAATCGAACCCAATTATGTTTCATGTATTTTTGAAGAATGTTGCAGTGAAACCATCAGGCTTTGGGGTCTTATTTAACCCAATGAAGAAGAAGCTCTGTTTAATCTCAACATCCATGAAGTCTTTGATAAGATATGCACATGCACATTCATAATTATTAAGATACAACTAAGAGTACAAATCTCAGAACTATAGTCACAATTGTAAGATGGACTATTAAGAAACTCAAAGAAGTTAGGATACAACTAGGGGTGTGAAAAAGCTGAACACGAGCAAGCTTGTGCTCAGCTCGTGTTCGGCTTATTAAAAAATATCGTTCGTGTTCAGCTCTTTTATATTTCGAACAAAAAAAAATTGTTTGTGTTCAGCTAGTTTGCTTAGCGAGTCTAACACAAGTTGTTCATGAACAAAGAATCGTTTTGACAACCCTAGTCACGCATGCAGCCGTTAGGGGTGTAAACGAGTCGAGCTTGAGCCGGCCCAAATTCGACTTGTTAAAAAATATAATTGTTTGTGTTCGGCTCGTTTATATCGAGCTCAAAAAATTTGTTTGTGTTTGTCTTGTTTGCAGCTTATCAAGTCAAACATGAGTTGTTCATCAACAATGAGCTATTTTGACAACCCTAGCACACAGCGGTAGAATGTTCAGTATAGTGAAAGATTTAAATCTTGTTATTTATATTAAAATATTCATTTAAATAGAATTTAATAAATTTAATTCTACTTTTAATTAGTAATTTTAACTCATTATAAATTTTTGTAGCCTTGTAGTCAATTAAATTATTTTAAAATAGTACTCTTTAATTATATATTAGCGAACGTACACGAGCTACTTAACGAGCTGAACATGAGCTATTCACAAATAACGAGTCGTTCTGACAACCCTAGATATAACATCTTTAGCAATGCCATATTGAGTGTGAACACATGAATTTTAAGCATAGATCTCTTTAACATAATTTTTATTGTTTATCACATTGATTTTTTGGTGCGAAAAATTAATATCATCAGCACTCTTAGTGAGCCAAGCACAATTAGCCCTCTGCCTGATCCATTTATTTTCACATTTCAAAGCATTAGAAAGTTGAGCTTGAATGGAAGAAGAACTAGCAATGAGATCGTCCAATGGATTTGTATCAAGTTAAGACGATCTCTTTTTGATAATCTTTAAGCTCTAAAATAGCCTTAGAGTTGAAAGCAAGCTTGACAGACTTAAGTTTATTGCAAAGGGCAAAGAGAAGATCCCCCTTTATAGTGTTCACTTAAGTGAACTAAAGAATATAAAAGAAGTTGGTATTGTAGCTCCAGTAATTTTTGTATATGAACCTGTAGGAAAGCTTCTGAAGGTTGCTAAAATGAACATCAATAGGAGAGTGATCTGAAGTAAGTGTTTTGATAAATGTAAAGAACGGGGAGGGATAAGCAGCCAACCATTAATCATTACAAAAAACTCCATCCATCAAACATCTAATGGGATGATATTTATGCCAGTTAAACCAACTGAAAGTTAGAACAATATTAGGAAGATCAATCAGAACAGTATTGCAAATTCAATTGTTGAAATTAGTTAATTTATTGGGTATAG